TTGTCCCCAACAAGTCGCTTCTATCACACCAGCCTGAGTGCAGGGAGGCTAGGTTACTTGCGAGTGTTTTGAAACGAGATGATATAGACCGTATGGTTTTCCTCTTTTTTATTTCTGTACGTCAGATAACATTCTGTTCCCAAGGTCAGTAAAAACTAGTTGTCGACTTTTTAACTGCATTAAGAGTTTATTACATATCAACTGTCATGCCAGCGCACGAAAATTGACGATGCTTTGTGTCATTTTCAGTGGTGGTCTTCAGGCTGGTATTGCGCTAAGAGAATGGATCACCAACCGCTTTTTTCGAATCTTATGTAAAAAATGCACTGTTTTTATCTGTAAGGGAATTTTCTTCGTAAAAGATAGATTCGACTGGATAATTCAACACAAAGTCCTCAACTGCTGTGTATTGATTGTTTGTCAACTTTGACTTTTAAGCATTTCGCCTGACAGGGTTTTGAATAATTGTTGTCATTATATATCCAAGACTTAAACGCGGTCGTAAAATAGATAAAGCCGCTAAGAAAACACAAAATGTGCTAATATATTCAAAAAGGGTTTCAGTCAGATAGTGAATGTTTACCTTGTAATGCTCCCATATCTACTACTCAAGTAACGTGTAGGTCTGGATGTAGAAATTTGAAAAAATGTCTGCGCTTGGACACGGTCTGGTATCGTCGTCCCTGGATACTACAAGGGACGTGTTACCCGCCCCTTTTGATATCATTTAAGTAACTCTCGATTTCCAGCGATACAACAGTATGTCAGATAATAGAACTAGTTGTCACGAAGTAAATTGAAAATAAAATTAAATTCAGATGTTTTCAATCTTCAAAATTTGTTTTCGACGTAAAATCCGTGGCCACTCTTCTTGATTCCTTCAAGTGACGAGCAGGCGCAAAGTGCCCTGACCCTCTTCCTTTTGCAGAACTTTATAGCTCTCGGTTTGCTGAAACTCTGTGTTGCTCTCTTAACCTGCTTGTGAAATATTCGAAGGCACCTACCCGGTTCTTTCAAAGACGAAAAGTGCGAATTATATCCTGCTAAATGTATGGTCTTCATATTTCTGAATTGCGGTAGCGCTCGAGCTGCCGTAATTGCACGTATGTCTAATTGCTTTGGAGTACAATTGTTCATTTGTTTATTTTACACACACATTTCGATAACTGAAGTTCAACCCACTCAACAATCCAAATCACACCGTAGGTTACACTGTGCTATCGAAACCAGAAGGGAGACACTTCATGAAGAGGCATCGCGAACATACCAAACAGCTCGAGGATTACGGTTAAGTTCATGAGCAAGTCGTTGTGATATAAAGTGCGAATTACAAGGTTAATGGTTTTGCTGAACTAGTGTTTCAATTCCAGCACCCGTTCCACCACGGATGAAAATTCTACAAAACTTAGTTTCTTTTAAAGTTTTCGGTCTTATTTAAACCAACTTTCCGGGCCGACAGTTGTTTTCGATTTAAACAGGTTGGAACAGATCAAAGTTAACTAAAGAGAGGCTTAACTTTTTACGCGTACCGAAGCAAATGACTTCCTATAACAGCCCTGAGCACAAGGGACCGAATTAATTACGTACATTGATGTGGTCCCGAGGACAGAGGACAGACGGCACTCACTAGGGCACTTTGTGTCTTCTGGTGCAGAATTATGACTCAAGATGTCCGATTAAGCTGACGCCATGCGTTAATCAGAGGTCAAGCGTCTCAGCGGCGATCATGTTCCAGTTCTTTAAAAAAATTTTTAGGTAAGGCGTTACCTTGAAAACTGAAAGGCAAGGTTTTATCCACTGGAGTAGGTTGGCAGAGAACGCTGGGATGTCTCGAAAAACCGCGTTTCGTTTTTGCAGCCTGGTTGTTGCTTCCCGTTCTCCGAACCTTCATAAAACTCGTATATGCATGCACAACATGAGTGTGCAGACGTAGCTGCCTCCGAAAGTTTTCTTAATCTTAAATAAAAAAGATTCGAATTAAAAATGGACGGGAAACATTTTGGGATCAGTCGCTTTATCGCACGGTATATTCTCTGCTGAGTAGACTTACTGGACAGGTGTGAAATTAAATCTCATTTATTGATTAAACAGGGACTGATTTGAGGAGGAACTCATACTTTGAGACTGTGTGATGAAGTCGAAAATAACATTTCCACTTAAGCGACCACAATCACGCTTTCCAAAAGCTCCACTTTTATTTTAAATATTCTTTGGTTTCTAATCCTTCATCCGCATTTTCTGTATGCACGTACCTAGACCATTTACGGTTATCGCAGCGGCCAGTCTTAAAATCTTTGGCATTTGAAGATTTGATGAGACAGCTTGCTTCCTCTAGGAGGACTGATCTTGGAATGGATAAAGCCAGCTGCGACAGGCGACTATGAAAAGGCATATAGATTTCACAATAAAGGACCCTTTGAAGCCAACATGACTGATCAGACTTAGTCGGTTAGCCAGAAATTAGAATGTTCGCCGACTCTAAAACCTTAAAATTGAATTTAAAATTGTGGAAAGTTTATAACATATCTGGAGATTCTATACCGGCTCTAGGAACGAGATTTAAAACATATGGAATATGCAAAACTAAGTTTAAATTTCAAAATCGAAATGAGGTTCCTTGAAAGAACGAAAATGCCAAAAACTAATTGATCTGCTGCTTTTTTGTGGAGAAAAGTATTTCAGAATAGTAATGAAGAACTTGTGGTGGGAAACCGTGCCATATCAAGGATATATTGCTTCTTCAAATTAGTCGACCTACCTACTGTTGATTGCCGCCCCTTTTAAATGTATTTTAATTTAGTAGAAGGTCCTCTGTGATTTGTTTGTTCTGACGAAAAGGGAGAACTACATCAGGTATCGTTTGCTGTTCGCTGTAAGAACTGATTTCCTTGTAATTTCAAGGTCTGAGACAGTGCTGTTAAACCTTCTAATCACAGACTGGAGTGGGAAAAGACAGAGGCATGTTGACGACTTGAATGACCGTGAAGTGGTTGTGTATGCAAATCTTCTTGTGTAAAATCATTTTTAGGCATGAGATGCCAGTGGCTCCCGAACGATTCACCATCTCCCATTAGGGCAATTTCTACGCCAAGGTTTGTAACCTGGAATAAGTTCACGGCAACGTTACGGTCAAAAATAAGTAACCTAAAGTAGTAGCCTCCTGGTCAATGTGTTAATTGTTCCTGACTCTCGTTATCACACCACTGACTTCCGACTATAATTTTGTCATTATTTTTGGGGTCAAAGGGACATCCTAAAACTTTGGGCAGAATAAAGGCTAAGGTCAGTTAAAATAGGCATTAGCACCAACGCTCTCTTTGCTGGTCTTGAGGAAAAGGCCTCCATGCGGCTGAAAACCAACGAATTGCCGGTGTATGAACAACCTCAGCTGTGCAAAATGCTGGGTGGTAGTCTTGCTGTTAATATCACCGGGCAGAATAAGAGGAAAACTATGATACATGAGGAGAGAATTTGGAGTTTCTGAATAAATAAAATTCCACGACTGCTCTTTGTTTAAGTACGACTGCCTGGATTCAAGGTTTACACTTGAAGAATGACAATAGAAATCGTTGACAAAATATGCAGTTAGTAACATGGCTGCCTTTCAGCATAAGAGAACAGATGGGCAAGAGAAATTGTTTTTAATATGATTTGAAATTGATAGCTTATTGTACCCGAAGGATAAATGAATTTGTTATTTTATGACAAAAATGAATAAACCCATCGCAGGCCTGAATGGCGGCCGCACGTGCGCGTGAAACGTATGTAAAAAGGTAACTTAACTTTGAAATGTTTGGCGCGTTTTTATTTTGTGAATAAGAACGAACTAAACTCTTTGTTTTTTGACCTTTAGCGTTACTTGAAACATATTTTATACTGACATTGAAGAATAAAAAGAAGCGGGAAACATCTCGATCATTTGCAAGACCCGTTTATAAGGTTTTCCACGACTAGACGTAAATATACATCAAACAACAATCTGAGATATCTTCAATGCTTTATTTATCTCTGCTTTCTCAAATATATGGCTGGCCGCGCAAGGTAAATAAGTTAAGTCCAAAAATCAAAGGGGTAAAAACAGCATGATTAGCCTGTTCGGTCTTCTATTGAAACGCAAGCAATATTAAATAATTTGCATCATACGACAAAGTACAAAAAACTTTTTATTTGCCATACTATTACAGAGAAATTAGAAATCCTCTTCCAGAAAATAAAAAAAGCATTTTCCAAACACTCGTCAGTATGATTTTGCGCTGATCAAGTCTCAGTCGTCTTTGTCGAGTTGTCCAATTCTCAGCTTAACGTTTCTGCGTAAACATTCCGTACGTACACGTAGTGTTCTTTCAGCATCAATGGAGATTTGTCACTTGCCACGCAAATACTTTACCTGTTTATAATTTCTACTGTATCATATAAATTTTATTGGAGGATGCTTTGGATATATTCGGTCATTTGCAAATATTCGGTGAATATTTTGCGGACATACAGAAGCTTTTATAACTGGTGATACCCGTTTGCTTCCATATAATCGCCGTCTCGGTCATCTATCATGTCAAATTGTATTCTACCTCTTATAGGAGCATCGGAAGTCATATTACGGTTTATTTTTTAGTCTCTGACCAAACAATTACAGGGTAGCCAGTAACGTGGTCATTGTAACCTTGAAAAATTTGTTAGACTCTCAGAAATAAAACATTTCAAGCCAAGCGGCCTTACATGCGTACAACCATTTGCATATATTAATGTAAAAGTTATTTTGTGAGCGTCTACCTTACACTTTTATTTTTTCATTCGGCAAATATTCATCTAATTATTAAAAGAGAGCTCAAAACAAGTCCCGTTGGTGGGCATGACCTGAGTGGATCATTGTCACCATTGGCCTGTCCTCAGATCCTCCATTGGTCAAAATAGTTTTCTTCGCCGGTTCCAAATGTATAAAAGCCTGCCCATCTAAATTCAACACAGAATCCTTGGTGAAGATCTACTTGACGACGGTAGCAATGAACGCAATTGCCGGACTTCTGGGGTCGATCATAGTAAGCTTTCTTCTGTTTTGCCATTGGCTTAATTAAAGTAGTGTGATTGTTTTATGGGGCCAAAAATAGACTACTGGCCAGAACAATGTAAAAGTAGCTTTTAATGCACATCTTGTGTCGGGTAATCACTCAAATTTCAAAAGCAACAAGTTGAGCAGCAAGTAAGCATTATTTTTAGATACGGCAATTAAGGCGCACACAAAATTTAGAACCCGGGTTTACCTGGCGACTACATGTTTAAGTAAACGTAGTTCAAGCCACCCACTTCCTTTCCATCATTAATCTGTCTTTAATTCGGACAGCCGTCTCTATTTTAAACTGGAGCGGACCTGCTCACTGGCTAGAAGGAGGACAATGGCATTTAAAACATTTGTGACGTTTTCCAGGTCAAACTAGTATCACAACCTTTTGTCCCTGTTTCAAGCTCTAAGGGAGTCAGCAAGTCAGTGACCGGCAGGGAAGGGCCTAGATTCTGGAATGACTCGCTTGACCATGACGTTGAATCAAGTTTTTAAGCTGTCCTGCGTACAAACCCACCGGCACCAACCTCAATAACTGACGAGAGATCTTGTTAGAGAAAGCCAAATTTAGTTTTTTAGACCTCGGACGGCAAGATGAATCATTGCCCAAGGCTTGGGATTATGTTTTCGACACATAGAATTGACTAAAACAGCAATCTGTTTTGTCAAATACTTAACTCTTTTCGAATAGGCACATCGATGTCTAACACTCTTGATTAAAATTAAGAACTATGTCATTGAATTGCATGCTATTTCATAGCAAAGTGCGCTATATGTCTACGATGCAGTTCCATAAAACTTTAATTAAAACTGCCAGATAACATTCATTCTGACAAAATTTGCCACTGTTCGAGTGCACTATGGCACGGGATTAGCTTAAAGTTTTAATGAAAAAGTCTTTTCACTTTTCCCAACCAATAGTTACGGAAGGATCTCGGGAGGCCACAATGCCTTTTGCTTTTCCATCTATCTGAAAAGCGTCTGATACGTTTATGCCCTTTTTGAAAGAAATGCTAAATACGTTCCAAGCATTAATAGCAGAATAAGAAGCATGACTTCGACAGGGTTGTCCTTCTTACAGAGACTTCCTATTTGGGGCTCTTGCTGTCCACTATCTGCAAGGCGGTTTCCGTCTCAGTTGGCACCCTTAAGGAACTTTTTGACTGGGCCTTTTATGCTGCAGAGTACACTGAATGGACGGATGTTTCATAGGGTTTTAATAGAACGGCAGAACTCTTCTCGAGTCAGCCAATCCAAAATGGACAATAGAATTTGGCAAAACACGCTTCTAGCCGACAATTACAGTCGTTCTAGCAATGAAGTTGTCCTACGTCTAGGCTGCGGAATGCGAACTGGTCCCAGAAATGTAACGTAGCAGTTCACCCTCCTATAGATAGCTGAGCAACATTCGGGTAGACAGTCCAATTCAAGCTACATTGAACAATGTTAATATGAACCCTTAGAAACTACAACTAAGAATCTGTCTGCACAGTCGCTCAGTTTTTCCAAATCCATTATTCCTACACAGTGTCTGATCGCCTCTTCAAAAATCAGGCCTTTGTGTGCGGATATCACTTTGATTTTTCCTAGTCGATTGCTCTTAAATATTTCTAACTCCAACGACCTTCCATTTAGTTATTACTGAAGTTGGTTCGTCGACTTAGCTTTTATGTTTACAAACCTTTTCAACATACTTTTGAGTGCTTCCAGGGATTACGAGGATAGGGGCCTTTAAATCACACCCGAGGGCGATGAACTCATATTACTCGGATTACGGGTTGAAAGCCGTCCAATGTGCTTGTTTGGATTTTTTTCGTATAATGCCACTCTTGTTCCTCCTTGCATCCTCTCCCTCTCCCATAGGTCCTCGGTTGCATTTTAACTAGCCAGGCGGCAGCTGTCGTCCGTGAGGCCGAAGGTGCGCGAAGTCGCGAACATCCTGACGCTGTCTTCTACCCATTCGCCAAACGCTACTTTGACCCCATCCGCTATGGTCTGTCAAGTGAGTTCATGTGCTTTTCAACCTCCAACTGACCTAACCTTTTCTCTCCTTCACCTGTAGGTTACGACGGTTTTCGCAGCAAGTATGCGGCGCCCTCGGCCTATTTTTCGGATATGGAGAAGCGAGCACCCTACTTTGACCCAATTCTATATAACATGCCTTAGAATAGTTTTTCCATTTAAAAAGGATGCATGAGTCAATAGCATGTGTGCATATTAATGTTTTTATTTTGTTCCGCTGAAATATAAATGAGATCCATTTAGATCTATTGCATGTCTTCGTTTCTGGCGTCATTTTGCCCCTGCAAGGATTCGAAGAATGTTACTATCTAACAAATCCGGCTCTTCATAGCATACTAGGAATCACTCAGCGCGCTTATACAGCATGTAAATTGCTTGCTCAACTTTTAACGCGTTGAACAACAAGCTTCGAGCGAAGTCCTGGTGAGAAATGTGTTAGTAACACAGGTCGAAACCTTACTCCGGATTTTATAAACGTGACTAAACTAGCTGAAATAGGACAGGGTATTTAGGAGAAATGCATGATTTGGTGCCACTTTCTACTAATGAGCTAACTCACTGGAAATAATGCCTCACTTAACTAACGGGAAAAACACTCTCGTTAAATATGTAAATGCAGCATTGTACTCCCGACCTTAAAAGTCGCTGATCACTAGACGATTTTTAAGATATGGACTAGTTAGAAGGGACCGAACTCGTCCACTCCAAACCAAAGCTCGAAACACACGTCTACGTAGATAAGAAGTAGAAAAGCCTACCAGCTACTTAAGATGCAGAATAGTCTGGTATGAAAAAATGCACATTTCGGAGTATTATTTGAACTGTGTGCTTGAAAATAAATATAATCTGTCATTTTAAAAATAAGTAAAGGCGGAATTTTTGACGCAAAAGAGGAATTGTTTCTTTTTAACGGCTTCCTGGAGCTTGCGTTCGCATCTGAGTCATTTGGCTCTCTGTCCGTTGTCTGGCCACTTTTGGTATATGCATCAAAGTCCGTCGTGCGAGAATTCATCAGCCTACAGACGTTATTAAAAGATGCCACGAGCCTCCCACGCATATAAGCATGTACTAATGTGGTCAGTAATAAAGAGTCCTCTGTCAGCTACACCGTTGGGTATTAGTTGTTGGCCGGGGGGAAGACTTAAGGTTTCTTACTGACTCAAAAGTGAATGGAATAAAGACGCAAAGACTACCCGAATATTCACTGCCGACTTTGTAAGTGCGATATCAAAACCTTTGATTTTCTGCGACAACCGAACAAGCGTAAGGTTGCAAAGAATTTTGTCACGAAATCACGAAAGAGTAAAGCAAATCTGTGGAGCTGCTCCCTGACTCTTGCTAATTCTAGCAGTAAATATCAGAGCCCTTCGAGGAATCGGGCTACCAGTCATAGTGGACGATGCAAAATATGATTGGGGCGCTCATTTATAGCGTTTTCTAATGCACATCAGTCTGCAATAAGAACTGAAGCCCGAAAATGGTAGATAAATCTTTTAACCCAAAGTTTGTCTAGAAAACGGGTCTATAATGCCTATGTGCATAGATAGTTATTGCCAAATAGTAAATACCGGATGGAATACTGGTTTCCCAATAAAGATATTTGCAAAAGTATGCAGCAATAAGGCAAGAAAGTCTCGCCGCGTACAGTATGTGCACACATATCGAATTTATCATTTCTTAAAGAAAAGATAAAAGGAGAAAGGGCGAGTTCATGGACAAAATTTTATTTGTACGGGTGTTTCAGAAACGGTATCGTTTCCACCATCAAAGTAGTGCGATTGCTGTTTCTGCTGGTCTTGGCTTATTAAACCTCGCCGGCCGACTGATTAATCTGCATGGTTCAGAACTATATACATCTAACAACCGATCACCTCGAGCTTGAGACTCTTCCAGTAACTCTAACGTTGGCCTTCAAACATCAGCATTGAAGCATGTCCCAACGCCCATAAATCGCTTACGATTATCGTCCAGTGTTTTTCACTCAGCCAACATACTCTGGTACGGATGTAATACTGACAGCAGTTAGAGTCATAGAATTCCTTAGATTAAGAGCCGCGGTTTATCCAGCTATTTTACGATGCTTCGTGGGGTTAATTATAGGCATAGACAAAACAAATCAACTTTGAAGATGCCGTCAACGGTTTCACATGAAAGTCGAATTAAAAGCTTTAGGACCTTGTGCCGGTGTATGTTGTTTTGCGAAAGTGTATCCATTCGTGAATTTTTTCTTACGTACATAATATCATGATTTAAGTGGCTTTTTATTAAACTTTTCTAAATCCTTTTCAAAGAATCGGGTAACTTTATGTAAACAGTGGAAAAAATTTGACAAAACATATTACCAAAACAGACACCTCTTGATTAAGAGAAATCGCTGTCTGCAACTGAGAAACATACTTACAGGAAACAAACGCAGCCTTTCACAGACAAAGAAATAACTTGAAGTTATTTTCCACGTCTAATAGTGATTTAATCAACCTCTCATAGTTAAGTGATTATTTAAAAAATTTGTTTGACTGTCTATGACTAACGGCACATAATGCACGAACAGATTCTTCGCGGCATGATGTGCTTGCATGTTACGTGCCTTTTCAAACGGAAATATGAACGTTGCCAAAACGTGATGATGTTATCGATAAAGTGGCCTTTGGAACTGGATTCACTTTTCATAAGCTGGTAAATTCTCAAAAATCAGGCCTTTGTTTTTTAGGCATGAAATTCTTGTCTGGAAATAATAACCGCTTACCTACTGCATATAAACTCGTTTTTAGTTTAATCCAAAGATGGATGTTTTTTATAAAAAGGATTTCCGATGAGATCCTCCTATAAGCTAGTTTGTTTTACATACTATTTTTCACGAGCCCAAACTCGTTTATGTTGGTTTTGTAAAACTCTGACAATCCAAACAACTTCGCAACGTTCATAACCTTTTTACATTTGAGGAGGTTGCTTGACTTGCCAAGCCAGATCCAGTAAAAAATATTGTACTTCTCCTCATAGCACGGTGTGTAGACAGCTAACAAACGAATAATTCTTATACATAAACTTAAAAACTCAAAATACTCCATCAATTATGCCAAAACAGGGCAAATTTATTTAATCCGTCATCCTCTGTTAGTGGTAACATTAACTGTAGTAGACAGGTTATTTTCCGATCAGGTTACCAGCAATACTCGTCCTGTCGCGTCTTGTGATATAGGAAGGACGGGACAATAGGTCCTCTTATTCAGTGGACTTAGTAGTCAGGGAACAAAGCGTTCAGTTTCGAATACCAGGTCATCAAACCTGAGGTCTGGGATGAATTGCTGACAACAACCGGTAAACCAAAAATGGACGTTTCAGTCTTTTCCTGTACTCCCCTCACATATGCTACTAGTAGCTAAGAGACTGGCTGCAAGAATTTCAGCCTGGGTCTCAAGACAAATTGACCAGCGCGTCTTATAACTTGACCAATAATCGACCATATACCACATACACGTACAGTAGACGTGCAAATTCATGAAATGTTGACCAAAATTCTGAAATGTGTTTCCAATTCGAAAAGGTTGCTTAAGTACGGCCTTAATATAAAATTTCGTGTAGCATAATATCAAAATATTTCAGTTGCGCCAGGATGCCGTCTTCCGAATGAGTTTTATTGACCACCTGCTAGAAGCACATTGTAAGAATTATTACTTAAGTAACACGAATTTTTCTCATTGACTTTCGATGCCCTTATAAATTTAAATATACCTTATGGAAAACGGGTATATAAATATTCATTGTTTTACTCAGTTGATAGAAAACAGTGTTTTCTTTAAATCTTATACTTGAAGGAGGGTTACGATTTAGTTTTAAACAAGCCTTTAATTATGAGATTTATCAGGACCGTGAAATGCCTGTGCATTAAGCATCGAGTTTCTGCATTTAATTAAGTTTCCCCCAAAGTTTACAATGTGGCTCAAATCCATTGTTAAATTTTATGAACCGCTAATAGTCTGCTCTTAATACCGTGTAGAAATGAATGATTTTTCTTTTACGGAAAATCTACAGCTTGCAGATTGGAATGCAAGTGCAACGGCAGGTCGGGTTCGAAATTATTTGGGAACGAAGAGGGTTTTTTAAAAACTGAATTATGTCCTTCCTTCAAGTACGAAATCTGAAGAAGACGTAATTTTCTATCAAAGGGGAAAATAATGAATATTTTATGCGTGTTTTCTTTAAAATATATTTGAATTCATGAGGACATCGAAATCAGTGAGAAACATTTATGCTATTTCAGTAGTCATTTTTAAAAAGTGTAGGTTTTGAAGGTGACCGGAAAGAAGTGCTTTCGAAAGTCGACATCCTGAATTCTTTAAATTATTATGGGATTATGCTACATGATGACTAATATTACAAACCCACTCAGGTAAACTTTTCGAGTCGAAAATGCATTTCAGAATTTTGGTTATTTCATGAGTTAGCACACCTACCGCACCGTTTATACATCAAATACATGGCACACGTATACGTTCGCACGTATGTACGTATACATGTACATCGTAAGTTAGGCGTTTACCCATCAGGTTACGGGCGTGTTCACCCTGTCGCTCTCTAAGCCGCAATCTTGAGCCGACAGGACAAGGGACTCGTGGTTCAACGCACAAGCGTCGGGTCTAACTCTCAATGACTGGATAAATTGAGCATGAATCCCAGGTTACGCAAAACTAGAGTTGGGTGTGGCTGACTGGGGACGGTCAGTAAAGCAACAAGGACCATGCCATTCTCTATTGTCTTTGTCCGTATTAAATACATGTATTTATACATGTTTATTTGTGTTCGGGGACACGCGTTTTTGCCTGTCACATATAAGATATATTTGTCACTTTCACGAGTACCGACGAAGGCGGAGAAGAGGAAGCAAGTTCATGGATAGAATTTTTATATTTACTGAGGCCTAAGTAACTTCCTTATTCCAAACATTGCCAAACGATACGACAGCTGTTGCTGCTGAAATTGATTCATTCAGCCCAGCAGTTTGCTTCATATTATAACCGTTGGAGGTCCACGAACTTCGATCTGCCTGTATGCTGATGACTAGCTTCCCTCTGCCAAAGATCGACTAGTGACATGCTTGCGTGATCTTTGCCGCCTTTGCAATCTCAGTAGTTGCAGCCCAGTCA